ATACGAAACGACGTGCGCTCGTAGCTATAACAGGGCTGGAAGCTGCCGCCCCTCCGATAGATCTGTCCAGTTGCCATGAAAAATGGCACTACCGAGTGGGCCTTCCATGGCACTACCATTTTGCAATATGCTTGCCCAGGGGTCGCAATATCCCAACCTGGGCCCCTGCATTGCAACAGCATCAGGAGGAGCCACGAAGGGGTGGCTACGTTGGTGGCACTGCAGTGGCCAGCCAGGCTTGGAGAGCGTGCAACAGAGTTGAACAAAATGGTCTAGAGTTTCGGAATTACATGATATATGGTGTGGGAATCCCGCGCTTGTTGAAGCTTGCTTTCACGTCATTTGTTCAGGGCCTTAAAGGTGCCATGCCGTGGATGAGGGTAGTCTAGTAGGGCATCTAAAGTGCAGAATGCTTGGCGTATAGTCAGTTACTTAGGCTGGTGCAGGACTTCCTCCACTAGCAGAACAGTATTCTGAATATTCAGGCATGACATATGTCTGTTCTTGTGCATTTTTGCAACAAGTGCACGTTGTAAATAATGAAAACCTTAAGCAATGCGATCAAGGATTGCATGGGACTTGCAGTGTTGGTCCGTGCGACGAAAGAAATCCAGCAGAGTGCTGCGGCTGCTTGCTCAGAATTCCTGTGATTTTGCTGAGCGACCTGCTCATTAATTTGGGGTCTTATCTTCGAGACTTCAAAGCCCACGGCACCAGGAAAGGTCTTTGCAAGGACATGTTTTCCATGCGGAGATTATTGGTGCATGGCCAAGGAATCAGCGATAGCTAGTGCAGAGCCAACATACCACCACTTTGCCCCCGCTCCTAGCCAACGCGGAGCCATCACTTTCAATCTCTTTCTCCTCTCACTCACTGACTCACTCACCCACTCACTCACTCTAATTTTTATTGTTTTTTTTCGGTTTCTTCTCTCTCTCGCTCTCTCTCTATCCTTCTGCGCCTTTTCAAGTTGTGTTTTCAAGCCTTCGCAGCGTCAGGCCGTGCCTGCGCGGACAAGCGCTGAAGCGCAAGGGCAAAGCGAAGGTCCAGGAGGTGCACATGGGGGAAAACCAGGGATCTAGGGAGGTGCCGGTTACAAAGCTGGCAAGGCATTTCCTTGAAAAAAGAAAATCACATGCAGAGCAGAGGGCTTATTTAGCAAGCAGTGCCTGATGTGCAGAAAATCAAGGGACTCACGACGTCTTTACTCCAGAGCGATGCCTGGGCACAGACACCCTTGAGGTCACGATCGAGACCCAGCTGGTACAGGGACTGCGGCGCCGACCTCCCCGCTCGACAAGGTGCCATTTGGCGAGAAAGGGTCGGTCAGAAAAGGGAAGCGCCATCCTTCCGAGATACACCACGAGATGTAATGAGATATACCCGCGAGGATTATGTTCTCAGGGTCTCCAAGCCAGCATCGGCTGAGTTGATTTGAAAGGGGTTGGGCTAGCAGCTAAAGCTGGCCAGATGTGCTTTGGAGCGAACCACCCTCGCTCACTGATTTGCGCGGGTGTAAGAATGTCAATAGGCAAGCCCAATGTCCACATGGGAGAGTTGAGGGCGTGTGACGACCTAGCAAATCTGAATGATGGTGGTGCGCATGATGCAGGATGGTTGCCATTTCTTGTCTCCATTGCATTGACTTGTTGCAAGCAGTATGCAATCTGTAGTGGAATCTAAACTGGCCTGACAGGGGCACCCGCTCCAACACCAAAAGCGACTGTGATTTTTTAAGCGATGAGTCGGGCAAAACAGCTACCCCACAGTTTTCTGTGGCGAGCTAGCCTGACAAGGGCTATCGAGACCATCTGCCGAGGGCCTGCTTTCACACCAGCGCATACGAGAAGGTCACCCCTTTTGGCCAAGCGATGTCTACAGACAGATGGTGTCGAACTTGCTCCTGCTATGTCAGACTGCAGCACAGCTACGACTGAGGCACTGGAGTTGATGCAACGACAGAACAGGGAATTACGCGCTGCCTTAAAAACCATGCCGTGGCCGAGTCTTGTGTCCTTCGAAGCATACGGCCAAACGCACGATCTGCCATATCGGCCTGCCCCAGTCCCACATGCGCAAATGGACAACTTTCCGAACGCAGGGTTGCAGTTCCTGAGTGGCTTTTTCGATGGGGATGGATGTGTGCGCCCTCAAACAAACCTTTCAGGGTGCAGGCTCATTGTCGCCCAATCTTTCCGCAAGGTTGCAGTTTTGTTGTCTTTTCTGGAGGTATTTGGCGGCACTATAAGCCGTCACTCGAACGGAAAAGGCTTGTGCCAACCGATGTTATGCTGGCATGTTGGTGGGTTCCCAGCTCGCCTTGCTGCCCATGCTTTGGCCGCCAACAGCATTACCAAAAGAAAACAGCTGCAGCTGGCGGCAGCCTGGCCGTGGGAGAGGTGTGGACAAGAGGCCTGCAGAGATGAATTGCGTGCTTTGAAAAAGTACGATTCAGCGGAGGCTGGCCCATGCTCCTTGGGTTACTTTACGGGCTTCTTCGATGCCGAGGGGTGTCTCTGCCACCTTGGTGGGGCTAGGCTTTCTTTGCAAGTGAAACAGAAGTTTCCCACGGTGCTTCAGTGTTTGAGAGAGTTCTTGGCGGAGAACTATGGCTGTGTCCACCTTTATGGCTACAAGACGCATTCTGCATTGTCCGTGTCACGCACATCTATCTGCAAAGAAGTCCTGCGAGCCATGCTAAGCTCTGGCTTGATATGTAAAGCTGAACAAGCGAAACTGGCCATAGGCCTGACACCCCAAAACTCATTGCCAGTCCGGCTTGCGCTTGGAGAGCAAGTTGGCAACCAGAGTTTTGGGAGGAGATTGGATGAAGATGGCTTGGAGAGGGCTCGTAAGATACAATCAGCAATGAGTCGAGCAACCGTCTTGAAGGACCAAGGGCGTTTGATGGAAGCTGACACCAAATTGCAGCAGGTCCAGCTTATGAAGGGCAAGCACAAGCTACTGAATGCACTACGAGAAAATGAGCAGCTGCGACAATACATCGGCAATATTCGGGCCTTGCAAAGCCACACTGACCAGCCGCTGTTTTCCGTGGGAAAACTTTGGGCGCTGTGATCCTACAGCCCTCGTAGCAAGAAATCTCCTTGCATGGCCCCGTTGGGTTTGCAAGGTAGAGTTATCCAGAATGGTTGAGACGGCCTAGCGGGCCCCCACTTCCCAGATGTTCGGGTGACACATACTCACTGGTGTTCAGTATGCTTTAGCGTGGTCTTTATAGAAACTCCCTATCAGGACCCCTATAGGCCGTAGAACTCATTCCTCCAATCCCCTATAACCACAAGTAAGCATAACTTGCAGCATAACTGCAAAGCAGAGTGTGCAGGTGTTGGACTCGCTCCACGTGAGCAATCCGCAGCGGATGGCCCCGGCACACTTCTACGAGTGACTTACTGGTGCTTGAGGGAGCGTGGGGGAGTGGATCCCCACAACAATCCCTCTTTGGATACTGACCCCCCTTTCAGTAACAGTTGGATAATATCATAAACTAGTTATATATATATATAGCCCTCAATAGGACCCCTCTTATAGAATGTTCTTGGGTATACACCTTTATTGGTTGTCACGCTACAGTTGGATCCCGTACGTATTCCCTAAACAATGCCCCAATCATAATCCTAAACCCTAAACACATAAATGTCCCTAATGTTCAGTCCCCCGATCCCCCTGAAGCACGAGTAAGGGAACTACCTTGCAGGTTGGCAGGTAGCAGGTAGAGCAGGGCCCATTCTTTCGGCTGAAATATACTGTGGCGCAACACCCTGAAGAACACTCAGCAATATTGTGGACACAGATTCCTTGTATTTTGTTCTGAGTAGACCTCAGAGTGCTATTGGATGCTATTGTCAGACCCTACAGTATGCGTGAAATTTCTGCTTCGAAAGGATGAGCCCAGTAGAAGTTGGACAGATGGTCGGCACTGAGTGTCGTTGGTGGACAGGCAGGTTCAGGTGGTAAGCCTGGAAAGGACCATGAAGGACTAGGCCTGGTTCTTCGTAGGGAACATGGGAGTATATAATACAGGGATGATATGGGGGTTGCATTCCCTTCTTTCCTATTAGGAACCAGTAAGATGAAGGACTGGTCGAAATGAACGTAGATGACTTTTTTGCATTGCAGTGCCAGTTTCACTTCAAGTTAGCTCTCACTAGTCTCTCACTCGTCCTTGCATAGCCAAGACCGTGAGAGCCACACCCAAGTTTCAGCGGAGGGTGCCCTCTCGTGAGCAGACGGTCGCCGACATTTTGCGAGCGCCAAGAAAGCCACGAGTAAGGTCATGAGATAGCATAAGAGAACATCGCATATGATTGAGTATCATACCCAAACATGTGTGGGTACTCAAAGTCGCAAGCATGGGGATCTTTTTGGCTTGGGAAGCACCGCTTGATGTTAAGAGATTACAAATGCTTGTAGAAGCAACTGGGGTTGGCAAGCCGGTTACTGTAAGAGCCGGAACAGCGTTTGTTGAGTAGTTTCAGTTCCCTAAACATCACCCCCACCTACCCCCAACAATAGACATGTATGTGAACAGATTTGGGCTCCTATAATGGCATTTGGTATTAGTGCCTGGGGGAAGTGCTTGACATTAAGAAGATGGGCTATTGCTGTATTGCACCGGCCTCAAGCCACAGCGCGTACTTACAAAACTCTATTCAACATGTCCAGGTAGGCAATCGCAGAACATTCCCAAACGTGTGCAGTCTGCCGCATATAGCATTTGTTGAAAACGCAAACGCGCCTCACCCTGAATCGTAAATCCCAGGGACAGCGAAGGTGGTACGAGATAATGACATGAACTGCCAAAATTTCAGGAAAGGGAAATCCTGAGCCTGCAGTCTCTTCAAAGCGTTATATAGCATTACGTAGGATCGTGATCGGGCTACAGGAGTATGTAGGCTAAACACCCAAACTTGATATCCTGAACCCTCCAATGGCGAAGGCAATACTGGTGACGCTTGGCCAGCAGTATTGGCTCAAATGATCGAGGCTTTGGCAAGTAGAGTGGGAGGCGCGGCAATGGCCTTTCCCGGCTCCTTGGACTTGGACCAATCGGTGAGTTCAGCTCAGCTTTTGCAAGCTCTTCAATTCAATTGCATGGGCTTAGGACCTTTTGGTACGGAGATATTCCTTTCGTCCTTAAAGTGATCCGACCTTGAAAAGGGGGCCTAGGCCTAGGCTTGGGAAGAGCAAAGGCTGTGTCGTGGGTTGGCTTAGTTTTTGCGCCGTAGGTTTTAATACGACATTTTCTACTTTAATACGGCACCCAAACCTCGGGGGGAATGTAGAAAGTACTGTAGGACCCCCAATATGATATCCTGTACTTACTATGTTTTAATTTGTAGGTTTCCTAAAGGGGATCTACTTTCTAGATTCCCTCCAGGGGTCTGGGCAAAGGATGGCAATCCTCTTAGCCCAAACACTGTGTGGTCAGAGCCTGCGCTCTGCAGGGAGATTGGGCACATAGCCTGGGCCAGCAAGAATATGGGGTTTTCCCAAAACTTCGGATTATGGTTTTTTAGGGTCTTTATTGGGGTCCCCCCCCATTAACCCATATGTGACGCTGAGATTCAAGCACACCAGCAATGATGCGATAAGCTGTGTTGCCATTCCATCGTTCTGTGTTGCACCGTGCACATGTCAACACAGTTGCGCAGCATGTAGCAGCCATCCTTCCTGAAAGGGCTTCTGAGCACAAGTTAGCAATTGCAATGGTATAGGCAGTTTTGAAAACTGCTCATTATTCAGTCTCTCGCAGACGTAGGCTTCCCCCCAAGACAACTTGTCTTTTGGCTGCCCGATTCTTGCAAAGTGGCCGTTGTAACCAGCAAATTCTCCTTCTTTCCCAAAACAATTAACTGATCTGCCTGCACAGTCCTGCACACAATTCACTAAACTCAATTTGATTTTTGGGAGTACCCTGCACGTCGCATGTACAGTATAGCCCAAGACAGAAATCTATTTACCAAACTTAACCCTAGCTACCAAACCAGAAGATCTGACCATTCAGGCGACAAAGGCTTCGGCCAATTGTGGTCTTCGAACAGTCGCTCGTCTGGTTAGGCAAGAAGGGTGGAAAGGGCTTTGGAATCACGTTCCCTTCCTAGCCCTTGAGTATCCAGAGAGCTGGGTTTTTTGGGGGCCCCTTATTCTCTTGATCTAGGCCCATGCATATAGCTTGAGGGTCCAAGAGGGTATCCAATTTTTCGTTGAAACCCCATGTAACGAATTTGTGGAGATCAAGGACCAAAGTTATCCTGGCGGCTCCTGTTTTTTTTCTCAAATAGCTCCGACCCGAAGCTTCCCATGCTTTCCGAAAATAGACGCAATGAAATGAAAAAGCTTCGCAGCTACTGAAAGCAAAACATTCAGGCTACACCCCAGAAAACTTTCTTTACTAGAATCCAATGCCTCCGCCTCAACCTTAAAATGAAATGTCTCACCTCAGCCCCCTCCAAAAAAATCCCCAAAACAGGTTCTCCAAACCCTGAAGCTTACGTCCACGCAACGGGGCGACGGAAAAGCAAACAAGACAACCTACTACACAAAAAGGCCTTAAACCCTAAATAAGGCCCGACACCCTAAACAAAAGGGCCTACCTCTTCTCTGACCTCCCATGAGGCCTGAGCTTGCACCAGTCATGGCGGGGGTTTCAGACCAGAATCCTAAACCCTATATCCAGGGGCAGTCTTGCCAACCCCCCAATGCTCAAGCCTGAGGGCCTACCTATAACCCGAACTACCTACACAGCTTAGTTGTACTTACCCTTCAAATAATAGGTCTACCCCGTAAAGCTGGAGGTAATTGGGATTACAGGTAAACCCTAACATGAAATCTAGTAACCTTAAACCCTAAAGCCTAACATGAAATCTTGAGGCCCGGGACAACCCTGCGAGCCGCTGAAAGTAGCGGTGGCAGAGGAAGGCCCGGAGAGAAATGGGGGATTTCCCAAGTGAAGAGATATAGAGGGTTATATGAGCTATAGTCTACACTCCTTTAAGGTCATTATTTAGGGTTTAGGGCCTAAACTCCCTAAAGGGGGTTTTACAGGGGATTATATAGGGGAGCATTAATTATAGGGCTTATTAAGGGGGATAATCGGAGTTTACACTATAGCTCATGAAAGGATTCATAAAACGGCCCCTTTATACCTTAGAAAGGCGAACTCCGTAGGGTGCAGGTACGGTTGCGGGGTTAACATCAGGGTGCGCAAGGCCAGGGCACGGGATTAGGGGTGAGGGTTCAGGGTTAAGCCTGTATAGAGGTCATGGCAGATGAAAGGCTTACAATCCGGATTCATGGCTTTTGGCTTGAGATGTTTTGGGCTTTGGGTGGGTCTTTGAGGCAGCAGCGGTTGGAATTTCATAAATGAGATGAAGTCATATGGGAATATTTTGAGATGGGGTCTGCCGCGATTGAACCATCAGCAAGGAACCCCGTCACGATTGTGGGGCAGTCGCAAGAGACGGGAAACTCTGAAGGATCGTTTCAAGCTAACCCTAAACCTAAACCCACAAACTATAAGTGAGCGAACGGGCCCCTGAATCAGGCATGCCCCTCTACAGTCTACAGGTTTCTGTATACTCGTGTGTGTATGTATACGTCCATGGGCGCAGATCTATGAATATATATATATATATACACATATATACATATATATATATGTGTGTGTGTGTTAGATCTATGATTATATATATATGTAAATGTGTTTGCTTATTCATTCATATGCATATTGGCACAAAAACGAACCTATACGTGCACGCATGCCTCATACATTGTCAATCATTTTGTCGGGATCCCTTCACGCTCTAGCTTAGGCATCCAGAAAAGCTGGGGCCGACCTGTGAAGCTCCCCATGAAGACCTTTCAGCCAAAGCCGGACATGCACCCATAGGTCGACTAGCCATCTCCATTCATGTCAACAGTTTTTTAGTACACACTCTATATATACATATATAAATGCATATACGTACATATGTGATGTTTCTCTATGTTGTCAGTGACTGAAGCCAACTTGCTCCCTCTATCTACCGGGATAAGATTTTCTCATGATTGCTTCT